CACATATATTAATGTTTAATTTTGTTCACTTTAAAACACTGACATAAAACATGAGTACATACTGTAGACCTAATTATAAAAAATTCAAATAGAAAAACCACATTATGATTTTTTTAAATGTAAAAAATTTATTTTGAATCCGACTAAAATCAAATGAATGCACGATGGCATGCATTTCGATACTATTTTCTTCAGAACCACGCCCAAGAATTAGGCCTACGTTAAAATTAGGTGGGGTGCAGCATCTAGTATCAATTATCCACAATAGGAACAATTGGTATTGTTGAGTGACAGACTTCAGTCCTTCATATTTGTTCGACCATTGGGGGCTATGTTTGAAACCCGTCAATGACAAGGATGCATCCAATGACGTGAATCACCAGTGACATGTCGGCCCTTTTCAAATATTTACTTTAATAATACTAATTAGTCATAATAACGATAATAAAGGTGATAACAACAACAATATTAATAGTAATATTTATTTTAACAATACTAATAATAGTAATAATATGGTAATAATAACGATATTTAAATATCTATTTTAATAATACTAATTAGTAATAATAACATTGAAGGTGACAATAGCAATAATAACAGCAATAATAAATTAAAGATAACGTTTATTTTTATAATAATATTTAGTAATACTAATTAGTAATAATAATAATAATTATGATACTTATAATACTAGGCCTACTTAGTAATAATAGGGTAATAATATCAATAATAAAGGTGACAACAACAACAAAAACAATAATAATATGAGAAAAATACCAATAAAACACCAATAAAAATATTTTTAAAATTACTATTAATATTAAAATAATAATACTAAGACTAATATATAATAATAATATGAATAAAAAAAATCGAGAATTTTTTATTATTTATGCCATTTATGGTAACAATAATAATATCAGCAAAAATTTAAACAATGTTAATGTTAAGACTAATAATTAATATTAAAACTAACGGTAATAAAAACAACAATAATAACAACAATGACACCAATTATAACAGCAATAATAATAATTGTGGCCGAGTTGACTTGTGGCCGAGTTAACTTGTGGCCAAGTTGACTGCAGCCGAACTTTTTGTGGCCGAGTTGACTTGTGGCCGAGTTGGATCGAATTCAAATGACCACCCGCCGATTCGCGGTCTAGACTAGCACAATTAATTGCCTAAACACCATTGTATGCACAATATCATCTCAATTATATAATCATTATTGTTAAAAGAACTTATATATTATTATATATCTTTCCAAGTTGCTATAATTAATTTCTCTTACTGTCTAAATACTGCTCGAGATACAATGCCATCGCCATCTTTGCTTTCGATTTGCCATCTAATTCCCGCCCTCAGTCGCTTCAACTGTAATTTTATAGCGTTCAAGCCGCGGAGACGGGAACCAGAAATTCTGGCAGAATCATTGATCACGTGATAATTTAAAGGCTACCAAAACATTGCAGACGAACTTAGCGCGGGAAATCTTGATCGAAAGCAGATGTGAACTGCATGCTGCTGTGCGGTGATTTCCACACGCCGCCATCGCACACACACACACACACACTGTCAGTGTCTGATTCAGCTTGAGCGATTGTATGAGTTTATGCGCCTATCTTCTGCTAGCTAGGCTAGGCTAGTTCAATTGGCAAGTAAAACCAGGTAAAAACAACCTGTTGATTTTTCTTGTTATTAACTCCTAAATAATTACTAAATCATACTTAGAAATTAATGGAAAAAATAGCTAGGCCTAGGCCCCTAGGCTAGTATAGTAATTAAATTATAGGCCTAAAAAGCCTTGGCCTAGCTAGGAGGAGTATGAGTAGGAAGAAGGCCTACCTAGGACTGGGAGGCTAACTAAAATTGTACCACACCCTACCTAGCCTAGCAGCCTGGCGTAGCCATAGCTAGCTAGGCCTAGTTGTCAATGTTAGTAATAATAGCAGTACTCAAGGCTAGGCAAAAACAACAACAATAATAGTACAGTAATAATATTAATAATATGATAATTCACTTGCCGTTTTATTGTAAGTTATCCGACTACCGTATATATTACTTTTCACATTGAATTAAGCCCATGAAACAACATACTGTATATTCTTCTTCACAATGAATTAATTACATTCAAACATCTATTGGAACGTAAGTCAGCAGAACAGTGTCAAGTGTCAAAACAGCGTTTTGACACTATTTTTTAAAATGTCAGTGCATATTAATGTTATGTATTGAAATTTTAAAAAAATACAATGCCCCTCCCCCAGTTTGAAAAATTCTCGATCCGCCCCTGTTTAATGGGACTAATTAAAATGGTTTACGTTCTACTATAACTTAATGCTTGTTCCAAATTCAAATTTTATTTTCAGATGAAACATGAATACAAAGAGAGGTGAAAACCTGCCATGCAAGGATTGTCAAAAAGTTTAAGATGAAAACTATCAAGTGACTCTCCAAACAGAATCCACACAAACAGAACAAAATCAAGCATAATAAAACTAATACAATAAATGAATAAAACCAACTGTCATCTCACAATGCAATCAAATTTTCAATTGATATCCTCATGATGCTTGGAATACATCTTGATCGGGGAGCAACCTCGTGGTTTACAGATTTCAATCAAATTTTCCAAAATTTATAACTTCACTTTGAATTAAAAGCTTGTACTGTGATGTTCCCGGTGACATTGTGTTTTCTTATTATATATCACAAATTGTTGGTCTTAAAATTTTTCAGTAGGTCATTATTCTTATTCGTAATTTTGTTTTTAATAATTCACAATCACATGGATTATGAAAAACCTGGATTTCACCATGATGGGAGGATACTACTATAATGTAATATGGTGGTGTTTTTTTTAATAATATAAAAAGTATGATTTGAAAATAAGTTACATTGCATACTCTTTGTTTCTCGTTGTTTTAATAAAATTTCAACATTAAAAAACATACATGAAGTCATTACGGTAGCTTGATGCCTATCAAATAACTAATAAAAATTTACCAAAATTCATCAAATATCTGTAGCTTCCACCCCTGTGGCCCCTAGGCAGCTTCTCCCCCGGAAAAATGAGGCTTGCGAGCTGAAAATATCAGCATGTTCTTTTCATTTTACTTGCGTCATTTGTTGAATGAACACACTTGACAATGTACAATACTAGGCCTACACGTGTATTTTCTGTAAGATATTTAATCATTACGAATAAAGTAAAAAAAGCAAATATTTTTAATGTTTTATTCAAACACTAAGAAAAACAACATTGGCAGTAATACTTTTAATCAAATTCCATGCTGTGCATGTGTCTACGATAGTGTTTTACTTTTAGTTATCCATGGAGGGCATTTTATATTGTTTATTCTCCTAAAATTTTGTAATGATGATAATAATATTGATGCAGAAAGCATGTGGAATAAACAGCTCGCTCATACGTTATGGTCATGTAGAGTGAAAAGAATATAAATAGGACTAGAAATTGCAAATTGCAAGTGAAGTGCTGCGAAGTACAACTGCATATAAATGTTCTTCGAACAAAATTATTTATGCGAGTCAAGTGAAAATAATGAATAATAAAACTATAGATGTGTATAAGAGACAGAATAATATGAGACACGACCCATTGTCTATATTAAAACACTTCTCATTGGGTAGCAAAGTGGTAATTTTTCATTTTTGTCAAAAAGTGTCTATAGTGTAGTGAATTATGGTTTAGGTTTTTTTAATAAAGTTTCAAATATTTCTATGTATGTGGAAGATGTAGTTGATTACCGAAGGTTACAATTTTTATTTTGAAGACTGCATGATCTAGGAAGTGTACATTTTTTTATGGGGCAAGTTTCCAAGGGCGGGTTTTCTAGGGGCGAGTTGACTGCCAAAGAGTGTTGCCAAAGTGCGAGCCAGCGTGTTATTGTGCGAGACATCGCAAGTGTGAGCCAGCGAGCCATGACGTCACGACAATAGATAGAGACGTTAGCCAGTTGTGCGAGGTATCGGCTGAGATTTGTGGAGTACAATTCAAAAAACAACTATAGGTTTAATAATGAATTATTGAGATGTTAAATAGGCAATGTTAGCTATCAAAGAGCGACGTTGTTTTTCATTGGGACCTTCGTCCCTTCAAGGCTAGGCCTATACCATCCTAGCTAGTCTAGGCCTAGAGTAGGATAAGGCTAGCGCGACATGTGGACGTTGGTACGAGTAGGTTAGTCTACAAACGTCGCCTAAATTAATTGATTTTACCCGGCAGAACGAAAGAAGGAAACTCCGCTTTTCAGTCGTCTTATGCAGTCGTTTTTTGACAATGACCTTTCAGAGGTCAAATTGCTGTCAAGAATATGAATTGGCTGCTTCGCAGCAATTATTTCCAGCTCATCAAAATGATTCAAATATTTATTTAATTATTAAAATACACACTACAGTAGCAAATTTAATTATGTTTATAATTAGAATGGTAAAATTATAATTAATTTCCCATTTATGAATGTCAAACCTCCCTGTCGTAAACTTTCACAAAAATTCATTCAACCAATTCAGGGATTATCCCTGTGCGTTGCTTTGTCGTCAGTTGGATCGCGTTCAATAATGGCTTTTTAAAGAATAGAAATGCCTTTGTTTGTAAAAAAAATTGTTTGGTCAAGTTAATACGTATATTTATCTGTGTGCTGGCTCTCATGGTAGCGGCTTAATGAGAGTCTCCCGACCATCAATTTGTCATGATTTAATTTGTTTATGTCGAGAATATTTGTTTGTTATAATTTTCGTCAAATAAAAAATTCTGAGTTCCGAGTTCTAATGTATTTTTAACTTGACTATATATAAACACTTGCATTTTTTGGGGGATTTGATTTGCGTACACCATGGATTCAGTGAAGTATCTCAATAAATTATTTTTTTTATTAACAAATGTCAATTTATTACTCTAGTTTAGCATCATGGGTAATTCGGAGAAGAACTGTTCAGACTCGCCAGTGAAACCTGACATCATGGATTCAACTGAGCCTTCCGAGACTGCATGCACTGTCAAGCTACCAAACCAGGGTAAAGCTCTTTCTTTTTGTCAACAATGAAGGATTAAACTTGCATAATTGTTTCCTCATTTATTCCATAGCAAATGTACTTTCAATTCTCATAATTACTATATTTTTCTGCTTATCCTATTATTTTTTTCCAATCAGCATTCTTTATTTATAGTTTATCGTTTGATATAATTCATCATTACATCATCTGTCATCCACCATTGGTTGATTAGTATACTTTAAATTAAAATGTTTTAATAAACAAAAATCTACAAAATTGATGAAATGAAAATGAAACTACATTATCAAAGCACTGGGCCTTTCAACCATGCATATTTGTAAAGTATAAGCAACATCAAATTTGGTTAAAACTTCAGTTTTAACTATCAACTCAAGGCATATTCTGGTTTCCAGAGACTGTACAGTACATGTGCTACAACACAATTTTCAGGTGAACACAATTTAATTAACTGTAATATACAGTGAAACGTGGAGGAGAGATCGTATATAAGGATGCTGACATGAGGATGATCATTCTTGAGAATTATGATGATTAGAATGAGGATGATCAGGGTAATGCTGGTGATCAGGATGATGCTGGTGAAGGTTGGAGGTGAATATGGCTATGATCATGTCGTGATCATAACAATAGCAATTAATATCATTTAAGCCTACTGAACAACGTTGCCATTTTGAAAAATTTAATTCAGAACAAGACAAGATCAAGCCAACTGGAGAAGGAGCTGTCAAGGATATTAAGCTTGAAGAAAATATTCATATCAAAGTTGAGGAGGATACAAACCCTGCTAGCTCATCCTCGGAGCAAGGGAATATTGAAAACTATGATAATGACCTGGAGAATGTTAAAACAGAATCTGGACTTATAACTGCAGATATGCTGGAAGAGGAAAAGAAACTGCACGATGAGGCCAAGAATGAAGAGAAAAAAAGAAGAGAAGAGGTAAATGAAAATATATTTTGGTAGAAATCACGGGGGTGAATAAAGTCTAGACAGAGGATTTTCTACAATTTTAATGTGCGATTAGAGGCAACATAAGCACTCTATGAGATCAACAGCTTCATAAAACAATTCAAGGATTACCGGTAACTAGTTGGGTCAAGTCGCAAGGGTGAAATAAGGTTAGGTTTAGGATGGCACTTTTTCGTTATGTCGAGGCAAGGCACTTTATCTACATTGATTCTGTCGACCTAGGAATTATTGATTGAATTGTAATAAAGTAAAAGATTAAGATGCAGTGCGCAGATCCATAAAGTATTACTGGAGTAGATATTTTCACATTTTACTCAACTTTCAACACATTTGTGTACTGTGTGCGTACAAAAATTATGTTCTGAAAATAACTGCCATGAGATAAAGTAGATTATACATCGTTTAAACTCTTCAACATGACTTTCATATATGTCTTTGATACATTAACAAAATAGAATTTTAGAGAAATTGTATAGAGAAAAAAATCATCCAGTTACAAAAATATGAATAAAACATAAGCAAAGCCTTTTATTTTTTTGTCTGTGTATTAATCAAATGCTTTTTAACATAATTTGTTATGTTTATTATGTTAAAGGCTATGGGTGAACATTGGCAAAAAGAACTAGATGAGCAGCGTTACAAACGTTTACAACATCTTTTACAAAAGAGCAATATATACTCCAAGTTTCTGTTAGCTAAAATGGAGCAACAGCAGAAACAGGAACTGGCAAGACAAGAAAGACAGGCGAAGAAAAAAGCATTGGAAGAAAAGGCGAAGGTAAATTAGCTTTTTAAGTTCTTTATTTGATTTTAAAAGCACATTAGGCACATAAACCTAGTCCATTTTCAGTTTTTATTGGTGATATTTAAATGTTTTGCATATAAGTCTAGGATGAAAAATAATTGTAAGGTTTGATGTTATATTTACAGTATTTTTTATGTTTACAGCACTAAAGCATTTGAAATAAATTTGGTCATTTTTATATTAGTAATTCTATGATAATAAATATTGCACTGTATAAAATATATAAATTTATAATATCTACCATAAATTTTTAAAGTCTTTTTATCTTCTAAAAATATTTTTACTAATCTAATTGTTAATACAAAGGAGTTTGTGTATAAGTTTATCAATGTACAATATTTGTATTACAGTATGTGCTAGGATAGGATAGAGTATTTCGGTGTGAATCACAGTTGTCTCATCCGAAAGACTGACTAACTTGTATTTCAGCCCTCCAGCTGAAACACAAGGAAAGCAGTGATGGGAGTTGAACCAGGTACCTAAATATCTCCACGGTTCAGCATCCTAGAATCCAGATGACGAGAACTCAGTGTTCTCGCATGCGGCGATGTCTTTCATGTCACGTCATTATGTTCTAGGTTCTACTGTCGTAGAATTGAAAGCTTCCCATTGTAAAACTACTACTACTTTGTTTTTAGGCTGAAGCAAAGTCCCAACCTGAAGTGATGTCTCCCATAAAGAAATCAAGGAGGATAGAGAACAAGCTGACTGAATCTGCCGACAGCAGCCAATCAGAAACAGACAGTCCTAATCATGTTACTAGAAATCCATCAGGAAAAATAGCTAATAAGGCTGTGTCAACTCCATTACGGAAAACACGGAGAGGTCAAAATGCTGTAGAAGTCAATCAGATGGATCATGTTGAAAATAAGAAACGTAAAGATTTTTATTTAAACTTTGTTTTGTTGGGTGTATTTAATTCAATTTTAGTTTTATGGTTTTTTTATTGTATATTTATGCAATTTAATTGTAAATACATTTGTTATTCCAGTTACCACAGTGTGATAACCAGTTAAGTTCCTAATTTTATTTTTCAGCTTCAAAGAGAGGCAGGAAGAGAAAGAATGAAAGCTACAACATTTCGGACTACCTAGACAAAGAGGTAAATCATGTGCATTGATTATTGCAGCCATTGGAATTAGCGTCGGCAGTGCCAAGGTATTTGCCATGATACCCAAGCTTGCCTTAGGCAAGATAAGCTTATGAATTTACCATGAATCCATAGTGAATGAAAATCAAATCTTTAATAACTTGTAAATGTTTAGTAGTCATCGATCGGGATTGTTTGGGTATTTTTTGTTAGTGATGGCGTTGGTAAATGTGTTTGAATAAAATTAAAATTGTATTTTGTGAAGATTGAGCATCGTATAAAAATTCAGTCTTAGTGCTTAGAAGATTTCCTTTCTGATTTTCATGGTAAATGAGTGCTTTTAGCAGGGATGCTCCATGTTTTGGTGTAGTAGTAGGAGTCCCATGTGCATTGATTTGCTGTAGATTCGAGCATGTATTGGCTAGTAATGGCTTTTAAAACAGGTGAAATTCCTTTGTTTTTACAAATGTTTGTTTGGTCAAAAGCTTGTTTTAACATGAATATAAAACTTACGGTTTTGGAAAGATATTCATGGGTACATTCATTACATTCAGGCTGAAGCTTGCTGAAATTTAAAATACGAACACTGCCGAGGCATTTTTAATTTACCTCTGCAATCTTTTGCCGAGGTCAATTTTGAGGGCTGTTAATATATCTTAATGTTGTACAGGGAATACACGCAGGTGAATTAAAACAGGGATATACTGTATTCAAGCATGCTTGAATAAAAGCAGTATTTTATGCAAGAATGCTGTATGGATGGGGTTCTTGGTATGTACTTAATCAGCACAAGGAATGTAGGACACTTACTTAATTGTTTTATATATTGTTTTCTTGTAGGAACTGGCAGCAAAAAAATTAAAAACTGATCAAACACATATAGATGCAAAAGATGTAAAACAGAAGCCTACAGAGGCTATGGAAGTTGAACAGGGAAGGGAAGAAAAAGAAACTATGGTAAGGATCAATGATTTATTATGTAGGAGTATGTGGCGCAGCATGTAAGGCATTGGATTTCTGATTGTGAGATCAGGAGTTTGAGATCGACGCTTGTCACATTGCTTGTGTCCTTGGGTAAAGCACTTTACCTAAGTTTGCCACTCTCCACACAGGAATATGAATGAGTGCATGGTAGGATGGTGTGGCGTTGGATGTAAGTGTCTGTGCATGTAATAGGGATAATCCCCAGAGAGCAGAGAAAGTTGCACAAAAATATGCTGGTTTGCCAACTTACTATTCAGTGACCAGGGAAATACTGATGCCAGCTCCTTTGTATAGTGTATTCTCCAGAACGTGCCATATGAATTCTGATTAAAAAAAACAACTAATTTAAAGTAATCAAATTATTATTTTATTGATTGAATACTACTGCTACAACATGATAAAGATGTATACGAAGTTGAAGAAACTTTGTAATAGTTACGATAAATAATTAATCTTTTAGGCTGATGAAAAATACAAGGACACATTTCGAAGAAGGATCAAAGGCCAGAAGGTGTCCGACCGTCAGCCAAAGCTTTTCACAGGTGGTGTGATGAGACAATACCAACTGGAGGGTCTAGAATGGCTAAAGGTAAGAAGTTATAATATTACAATATTGCCCTATGAAGACAGTAAAGTTTTATTTTTAATGCAAGTCAGCTCTAAAGTGTATTAAGAGATTTTCCATATTTATGCACTATAAAAAACAGAATTATTGCTATTATTATATTATATTATATTATTATTAAACAATTTTTTAAAAATTTTTTTGGTTATTTTATGTCAAGTCAGACAGTGTATGACATCATCGTCAATTGCCTGGATGGTATTAAAGATATACTGTATGTATATACGACTGACGTGATTCCATTGAAAAGACAACGCGCACAAATTTGTTTTTGATGGTTATCCACTCAGTCGGCCACTAACAAGTAGCAGATAGAGCGGTGTCATCAAGCAGGCACAGAAATCAGATCGACTGTCGTATAATGTAGTATGTGCCTGCCTCTAGTCTCATAAAAACTTAGGTCTTTGAATCCTTGGATTTTCTAAGATTCACACAAAAACTTGAAAGCTAAAATAATGACACTACCCAAGTTCCAGCTTTAATCCAAATAAGACAATCACTACAAACTTTTATTTTAATCTTAAAATTGTTTGGTTCTGGTTCTAGGTATTATATGAGAATGGAGTAAATGGTATACTTGGTGATGAGATGGGCCTGGGGAAAACCATCCAGTGCATTGCCCTATTCAGCCACATGCTAGAGATGGGTGTTCCAGGGCCATATATGGTCTGTGCCCCTCTCTCTACTCTGCCTAATTGGTTTTCAGAGTTTACAAGATTTGCTCCAAAGGTAAGGAATTCATGGACCAAAACAAAAACATTAAACTTTCATATTGTTTAAACACAACCAAACAGATAGTCTTGGGTGATCTAGGGTGGGCTTTTTTTGTTTACAAAAAATGTATATTTTACCAAAAAATGACCAAAATACATTTCAATTTTTAAATATTTAGTTTCACATCTCTTCTCTTTAGCTTCTGTGACTTAGAAGCAAATAGGGAGCTTTTGATTTGTGCAACAATGCGACGCTAGAACGGAGTCACTCATGCGTGACCGTCCTACCTGGCGTCCTACGTTCTCTGCATACATAGATTTGGCCACATTGCGTTCCAGAATCTGCTCGACGAAGTGACCTTAACGTTCTCGCATGCGCAGATGACTTTTAGTAACGTCATTGCATTCTACGTCCTATTGTTGTCGTGCAACCAAAGCTCCCTATTGGTATTATGACACTTCTAATGTAAAGTTTTCAGTTAGAAACTATCTAGATTCTAATAAAAGATCCTCTTTAGTTTTGAAAGTAGGTGGAGCCATATTAGTCAGGTATAAGTTATGAAACACTGTAACACTTTAACTATAGTATTTAATCACACAAGCTTTCACCACCACTCTATGCTGGCTTCATCAGGCGCAATCTGACTGCACCAGTGATGATGCCAGCATAGACTGCTGGGCCGTTTCAAGGCAAAGCAACGTTACTGCACAAAAATGTAACAGCAGTTACTTTGTTTTGCCATAATAATAATAATAATAATGCCTGATTATTTATATAGCGCCAGTTTCAAATTATATGATCAAAAGCACTGAGTGTTATTACCCCTGGTCACTGGATAACATACAATGGCAAACCAGCACAAAGTGCAACATTCTTTGCTCCCTGGGAAGTATACCTTGTCATGCGCTACTTGCTTAGTGCACGAAACTAGTACATTCAATGCCACCACATCCCACCACATACCCATTTGTACTACTGGGTATAGAGAGAGACAAACCAAGGACACAAGCGACTTGCACAGTGAGACTTTCGAACCCCAGATCTCGAGGTTGGGAGTGCAAGCCACTACCGATGTGCCAACCGCTTCTACGGCTGTGCTGGTGAAAGCGTGTATGAATAAATTAAACACTATAGTTAGTCAATAAAGTGCTACCATTGTTTTATTTTATTTACATATTTGGTTTTGTCTTCAGGTTCCTGTTATTTTATATCATGGAACAATACCTGAACGTGAGCTGAAACGACACCAGATTCGTAAGCATAAGAATGAGTTTGGAACTCAGCCGGTTGTGATCACATCATTTGAAATTGCAATGAGAGATTGTAAACACCTGAACCACTATCTCTGGAAATATATAATTGTTGACGAAGGACATCGTATTAAGAACATGAATTGCCGTCTGATCAGGTAGGGTTAGTTTATAATATAATTATTTCAAGTTATTGATTATGTTTTAATTTTGCCATATATTTCATGTAGTACTACAATTACTGCTTTTTTTTTTATTCATAGATTGTGTGTACATTATTATTTCAATATATGTATTGTATTAATAATAAATAGATTAATATTTTTTTATTTTCTTAACTATTTATCAATAATTAAAATTAGCTCATTTGCTGCATACAAGTACCATAATTTCAAAGATAAATACTATTAACAGTGCACTTAGAGTCAAAAAAACAAATTACCGATTGTAGAGAGTATTATGTTAGTAGCTTAGCTCAATCGGCTAAACTGGTGGTAGCCACTGTGTGTGCGCTGAATCATAGAGATTTCTAGGTCACCGGTACAATTCCCAATGCTGCTGTCCTTGTGTTTAGCTAAAGGGCTGAAATACAAGCTAGGATAGCACACCATGATAAGACGATGAAGCCGTTAGTTAAAGAACGCAGTACACTCTTCGGAAAAGAGTAAGGGATTGTCTCCCGGTGTACTGCCCAATTCACCACAAGGAGGAACCCACTGGAAACAAGTCTGGGTTTAGTTGGTTATCCTTGGTGTTATTCACACGTTTGCGCTACAATTACAAGTCAAAAAAAAGTATCAAGAGTACAAAAAAATCATGTAATACTTTTATGAATGTTCACATCAATTGCATCAGCAAAACAAATATATTTTGTTACTTCAACATCGCCTTTTGATTACAGAGAGCTGAAGACATACCGTTCTGCTAACCGGCTTCTACTCACTGGTACCCCACTGCAAAATAACCTCTCTGAACTTTGGTCTATGCTGAACTTTCTTCTTCCAGAGGTCTTTGATGATCTAAACACGTAAGAATTGATATTTTCAAATCTGCCTGGCAGAGGGTGTTGTATGTGAAGCAACTGTTTTTTGCTTTTATCATTGTAAAACAATTTATTTTAAATACTAGTACTGAGTTTTAACAAAATTTAGAACAGTCTGATTTATCGTTTATTCTTGCTATACAAATGTCAATTATTTTTGAATACCAGTTTCCTGTTAGTGATTTTGTGGCTGTAAGTTTATATCCACGATGTTTAACTGATTAAAATGCAAAATATGTTGCTTCTTCAGGTTTGAGTCATGGTTTGATTTTAATTCATTCTCAAGTCATGAAGATGAGGAAGCCATTGTTGCCAAAGAGCGAGAGCAGCATGTAATCTCAATGATGCATCAAGTAAGATTCTCTTCTGAAGCATTTTTTAATTCCAAAAGTAATTGTATTCAGAAACTTATGCTCGTATTCTTAAAACAAACATTAGTCGAACCTCGAACTAGAACTTCATTTAGTCTAGTTGCAACTTAAACTTATATTTGTATTCATAAGCAACATAGTCGAAGTTCTAACTAGGCCTAAATCAATTCTTAGTTGTAGTTCAGCTGAAGACGGCTGGCAAGCAACTACTATCAAACTAACTAATGAAAAGAGCTTATTTTATCAGCAGACAAAATTTTAGAGATCCGGAAACGTGGATGAATATTGAGCTGCTGTCTGTCGTACAAATACATATTTCATAATAGACCATCATTTGCTTAATTAATTTTCTATATCAATTGTTAACATATAACGATAGAGAAATTGAACAGTCACTGAAAATTCGCTTTTTTTAGAGAAATATTATAGTTCAGCCCGAAAGAGTGCCATCTTTGTTGCTGTTACAGTGATGTTAAGTGACCGCAACGCAAGGGAATTTCATTCTAATGTTCAGGAACTATCACATGCGCCTAGCAAAACAGATTAATTTCATGTTTTGAAAGCTAAACTTAATGTCTTTTTTCTTGAATACACCGAAGATACATCAGACCTATTTATACAATCGTTTTTATTCTTTCAGTCTATCATGAGTTACAAAAAATACATTTTAGTGGGGTAAATATTTCAAGTTGTCGATTTAGTCCGACCCTAGGTTGACTAAAAAATCGGCCTGGAGGTATCATTTTAATTGAGGTTCGTGTGATTTAGTCGTAGTGCTAGTCAAAGTTTCGTTTCAAATATACAAAATGACGTAATTTTGAAGTTTTACCTCAAACTACGACTAAAGTTCGTTTTAAGAATACTGGGGTTAGACTCAGAAATACTGAAGTGTCTGGTTGGAGCAAATAGTTTTACCATTAGTAAGTATGATGTATATTGTACATGATTTTATGACAATGAAGTAGCCTTATTTTGTATCTGTATAATGATACATTAGCAATCAAAATTCCAGCCCTGAAACGTAGATTTGTATACTGTAGGATTGTATCCAGCAGGTTATAGTAAATTTTAAATTTACATTGTAAATAATAATTCACTTTCATTTTTCCAGCCCAGAAACATAGACTCAGAAATACAGGGATGGTGTTCAATAGGGATTATTTCAGTTAAAAAAATTATTTTTGTTAATTGTATAAAGCTTAGATCGGTCGGCCAATTTATTAGTGTCATGGGCCCTGACTGTACTCTCATACCAGGACCTCTCGAACCTAGTTACACCATTGTTTATTACTATTTAAAAGATTTATTATGCAATGGATAACCTTTTTTCATCAACCTTAGATCCTGACCCCATTTTTATTGAGACGTCTGAAATCAGATGTTGATCTGACAATACCACCAAAGAAAGAGATCATTGTGAATGCGCCAATGACAAGTAAACAGCAAGAATTCTACAAAGCAACTCTTGACAAATCAATCATTGAAAAAGTCAGACCAAAAGTAAGATCAATTAAAATTAAACACCTAATTTTTGTAATATATTATTAATTATCTAATTGAATTGTCTGCTCTCATCATTTATAATTATACAGTAATATCTCTCAATTACCAACCTCCCATTTACGAACTCTTGATTTTACAAACCAAATTTTCGGTTTTGTAAAATCATGCATTGTTAAATTTAAAGATATTTTATAAGTTAATATCAAACAGTTTATCGCTCAACTGCTGTGTTTAAGTGTATAAAAACCTGTTGTTGCCATGTTGTTATAATAAGATAGACGCCCACACAAGATTCAAAGGCGGGAAAAACATTGGTTTTTTTTCGCGTCAAAGGGATCTGTTGCCGAGTGATCTGAATAATACCTCCATGGTTATAACAAGCAGTGAATGATTAAATTTAACCTATGAACCCTATTTATCTCTTCTCATAAGCTTTGTCTGAAAAACTGTTGTACTGTATGCCCATATATAGTCATGATGAGTCTATATAGGGTCATGGTGCGATGTCATCATGACCAAATTTAGGCACTTCACATGTTTTTCTTTTTGTTTTTTTTTCAAATGAAATTTTACAGTCTGACAGGGCTTCATACTTTGAATATCCTTCACTCTTAATTTTTCTACAACTGAGTATTGATTTGTTAACCATTTTCAGGAAAAGGAAGACACAGTAGCACTTACACCAAATGGAAGACCCAAACGTAGCTGTTCCAAGAAAGTTGACTACTCTCTCATTTTCAATGAGAATGAGACTGATGATGTGGAAGATTGGTACAGTAAGATCCGTGATACTTTTGCAAAGTGAGTAGTAAATTGTAAGAGAAGTAGCTGAAGCATTGTTGACATTTCGGTTTGATAACAGAATAACAAATATCTCAAATCGTCATTGTACTACCATGGAGATGCATTTATTAGATTCATGTTCACACAATTTCTGAAAGAGGCAGTTAAGTAGGCCTATTTATTGTTCACTAAAATTGGATGTTCACTGGACATCCAATTTTAAGTTCTTATCCAAGAAAACTTGGTTTTAACAACTGAACCCTGGGCGAGGAGGGACTTGATTTTAAGGCTGTTTGTAGCAGCACTTCTACATAATACTGCTAGAGCACTCGACTCACTACATATAAATCATCATCATCATCATCATTCTTAAGTCACCCCTGTTTTCTTTTTTCACATCGTTGAGAAGTATAGTAAATAGATACCTTATTTATATTTGTTTTCAACTCAAAGTAAATAATATTTTAATCAAGTTCCTGTGTAGCATTGTATCGTACCAAGCATAGCTGATTAAACGAAAAGTTCCTTTATTTCTGTTGTATAAATAAAGTGTCTCTGGCAGGATTTGAACCTGCAACCTCTCGCTATCAAGGCGAGTATCGTACCCATTAGACGAGAGAGACCTATAGAATTTAGGCACAGATCTAACCCCTGGGCATGTTCTCTCATACAACTGACTGAAATGCTCACACATAGTGGAGCTGTGGTAAAATATATGAATTTTTAAAAATATGGTTTTATCTTTTTATTTGTGTTCTCTAAATTTGCGATTTAATTTGAATGGAAGTGGCAGTAGCAAGTCTCAGTAAATAGAGTATTCTGACCATAATCTGAAATCTAGAAATATATCAAAATATAATCATTCCAATTGCTAATCTCTTATGATTTATTTCCCTCAATTATATTTATCCAGAGAATCTAATTTAGCAACCAATGAAACTGCAACCATTACTGACTCTGTTGTGAACATTAAGCTGCAAAATATTGTGATGCAACTCAGAAAGTGCTGCAACCATCCGTACCTGCTAGAATATCCACTTGACCCCGTCACACAGCAATTCAAGGTAGACGAAGAACTTGTGCAAAGCTGCGGTAAGCTTCTAGTACTGGAGAGGCTGTTACCAGAACTAAAAAAGCGAGGACACAAGGTAACAGAAAGGTCCACTGATTAAGTATTGAAATTTCGAGATTCAATATCTTTACATTAATTATGTCATTAGGAATCATCCTGATGATGACATAGTTAATTTGAAATATTGAATCCCAACACGATGGTGTGTATTTCGATACGTGGAGTATGTATTATACTATCTTACAAGGTAACAGCGCCTGCTATTATAATTTTATTAATCTAGAAATATTTTTTTTAATTGGTAACAGTGGTCTCGCCAGCTATACTTAAGTGTGGTGGGACTGCCACGCTTGGGAAAAAACAAAATGACCACCATGCTTATGTAAAACTGCATCACGCTTAAAATATCAGCACCACACAGTACAGTAAAGTTTATATAAAACATTACCAAGATCACTACTGAAGTGTAGCACTGCAGGCAGTTCCACACTGTTTCTATTGTCAGTGCATACTGCAGTGTAAGGCACACAACCCAACCACCTGTGCATGTAGGAACTGACAAAACTAGGTAAACTCAGGGAGGGACGGCCCTGGTAGGTCCTACAAAATAGTCGGCTGGGTACTGTGACGTCGTTCAGTACTGTGCATAGGTAGACTATTGTAATATTTAGTAATTTTACGATTTGATGAACAAATATAACATTTAAAAATCTGATTTTGTAGGTATTTCCGATGTAGTCTAAATCCATCATCAGTTTTAAGAAGCGTGATCTCCTTCCTGGGCTAAAATCGTATAAATTATATTGTATAAAACAATGTTTATTAATTTACGTGTTGTACCAAAGATGGCAATGATTTAGAATTATGCACACCACCCTTTAAATTTTTGGAAATTCCACCACTCTTAAAAAAATATCCTGGTGAGAGGGCTGAGTTAAGCAAAAATAGTTTATAGGTGGATTCAAGGGGTGGCCCAGCCAGCACTTTCCCCATAAATTTTGTAAATATTAGAGAAAATTTAATTCTGAGAGTGTCATTTCCAGCCACCGAGAGATGCCATAGCCATAAAATGTTGTGCCTTAGCCCCAACCATGTTGGAGCTGAGGTGGTTTAGATACCCTAATGAAGTATCTAGGCACAGTATAAACGATGGCAGATCCAGTAATTTGGAATAGGTGGTGGGGTTGCAAGGGAGGACTTCTGTTCTACTTTAATTAGTGCCTGTATTTCCGTATGTGTGTAGGTACTTATCTTCTCCCAGATGACGTCGATGCTGGATATACTGCAGGACTACTGCTACTTGCGGAAATACAACTTCTGTCGTCTGGATGGCAGCATGGCATTCGCGGATAGACAGCAGCAGGTAAGTGGCATCCAGGAACAATATATTAACTTGATCAGTCTCTTTGATCTCCTTGATTTCCTTCAATTATTTTTCTTTTGTAAATCGGTTTGGCGCAGTTTGAATCATTTTGGTCCTTAAGGTCGTGGTTTCAATCCTTCACTGTGCATTTCGCTTGTTCCTTTGAGCAAGGCACTTTATCTACATTGCGCCTAGCTAGTCATGCCATATCTTGGTCTTACCTTGCACAAAAAATTTAATGACAGAGAAGCTGGCAATGTTGAACAGAGATATTAAGTGTCATTTGGTTAGGCTAAATAATGACATTATGAGATCAGCGAAACAAGCAACATACCGTGCCCTTTATTGTATTTGTAGGCCTACTAATTAAAATGTAAATTAAATATTTGTGTTGGTTTTGAGGTAAATAGACAGTACATTTGAAATTAACTCTTGTACAAAGGAACTGTACAGGAATTAGGATATATAATTACCATCTTACAAATTGTTTGGGGTGGGGGCGTGGCACCAATGAATAGCGTCCCTATTTTTGATATTCAAATGTTGGCAGGTATGCGTAATCTTGCAGTTAAGTTGTTTTACTATGGAAAATCACTAGATTTTAGGTTTTGTGCCTAAAGAGAAGAGAGGTGGTACTATCTCCAAAATGACTTATTATTGTTGAGAACTGAGATTTTCACTGGTAATTCTGAAGTGTTTAATATACTCCCAAATGATTTTATCTCAAAATTTACAAAAATGTTAGCAACATTTTTTGTCTTGGGACAGCCACTCAATTTGTTAATCATTTTTTATGGTTTCTTCCTCAGATTAAAGATTTTAGCAATGATCCTGAATTCTTTATCTTTCTGCTTTCAACAAGAGCTGGTGGATTAGGAATCAATCTTACATCAGCTGACACAGTTATCATCTATGACAGTGACTGGGTAAGTTGAGAGGCAGGAGAGGAGTTCACTCAATACCAGTGATCACAAATCGACCCTGCTTGCTTTTTGTAGATTTAGGTCAGGTTCTTACGAGAGCCCTAGTATCCGGATCGGGAGCTAACCGTTAGCACCTGTGTGGGAATGCCTGATCGGTTAGCACTAATCATTAGAGTTATCTGGATACCGCTAACAGTTAGCAAGCGCTATCGATTAGCAAGTTGAGCTGTTTCTATCATCAACCAATCACATGTAATGATAATAATAATAATAATAGTGTAGTTTTATATAGCGCACAAATCCATCTAATGTAAGATGCTCAGGGCACTTGAAATGTGGACTAGTGACTCGATCAATAACTTTCTTCGCCCCTAAGGGTCCCTTCGTGTCTGTGCTACCCGGTAACCCGGTACCAGCAACTCTCGTCGTCCACCACAGGGGCTGTCTGTTCCAGTACACCGGGGTATCCCCCTACTCGTCTCGTCATGTACGCATTTACAATTTCCAGTTTCCTATTTTCCCAGTGATTCAATCATCATACTCTTGGTATTCGAATCGGGATTTTCTCGTATAGACGCGCGGCACCACTGTATGAGAACAAAGCCCTGATGATCATTATTACCTCCGCCAACGAAGTTGGCAGGATGTTATGTTTTTGCCTGGTTTTTTATTTAGTTATTTATTTGTTTGTCGGCATATTTGTTGTGAACAGCCTACAGCCCATAGTTTGTATCAGAAATTTGTCAAACTTGGCCACAATGTTCCTTTACATAAGATCTAGAGTTGATTAAATTTTGAAGGGTCAGGGTCAAAGGTCAAGATCACAATCAACCAAAACTATTTTAAAAATTTATTTGTCCACAGCCCATAGTTTTAATCACAAACTTGTCAAACTTGGTCACAATGTTCCATGACCAAATATCTCAAAGTATGTGAATGCGGAAGGGTAAGTCTTAAAGGTCAAGGTCACAATAAAAAAATAAAACAATTTTCTTTTTAAACAATTTTTATCAGAAATTTGTCAAACTAAATTTTGAAGGTTAAAGTGTAAACAAACATATGACCATTAATTTCAAAGTGATATATGTGAAAACAGTTTGGTGTAGTGGTTAGAAGAGTGTTTTCCACACTACTGGGTTGAAATCCCAAGGAGTGTTTTCCACACTACCGGGTTCAAATCCCAAGGAATCTACTTGTTTCTTTTTTTTCATTATTTTTTTTATGGCGACAATATGCAGGGGAAATTTATACTGAGGAGAATTATGATGTGAGCGAAGGTATGCACTCTCCAAGTGCCCTCTAGTTTGTTATTATTAATGTTTATACGATTGTTATTATAGCTGTTGTTGTTGGAAAGATAATGATAATGTTAACAATAATACAACAATAATGCAGCTATATTTTAATTTTTTTTTTTTTTTTTTTTTAAATCTTATTTTGAATACATAAAATAATATTCATGGATAAAAACACAATAAATTACCAAAAAGGCAGACTTATTCCCACTGTGGTCCAAAAAATAAGATACAGAATAAGAATAATAATCAATCAAACATTTATGCAATACAATGAATTCAAAGAGTAAAATAATTAAACACCTTAATTTTAAAATTTCATTATAATATTCTTTACATTTCCTTTTAAATAATTTAATTGAAGGTATGCTTTAAACTGAAAAAGAAGTGAATTCCATATTTTAATTACTATAATTTGTTTATTTTTTTTTAATAGATATTTAATTATTTATAGCATAAATTGATAGAGGGCAACTCCACCTGTGCTGCTCAAGTGTACTGCCGGCAACATAACACAACAAGTATACATACATTTTTCGTCTAAAATTATCTTCCCCGAACTACCAGCCGTTAAGTCTGTGGTTCTACAATGTATAACAAAGAAGTAATAAATGCAATGTTACCCCGATTTTGACAAGTATAGTTTCCCCTAGCGCCCTCAGCAACACCCTGTGGGGCAAGTAAACTAGTTGCTGGCAGCCAACATGCATATTTCTGGGGGGTATTTTTTGAGACAATAAAGTTGATTCTGAAGCCATAAATCAGTATGTTTTTATTAAGTGTTTTTACATGCCTAAATTGCTGTACCTTAATTGTCAATTAGTTTGCATTTGATTGTATTAAGAATCCCTGTAGTCAGCAGTATTTTCAAGTTCTACAGAATTCTAAATGGTAGGTAATATTGTTGACTGTCCTTGGCTCTCTGTGTAAGTGAAAGTTTTAGCACTAATGCACTTTAGCACTCCACCCTAACCCTGACAAAGTGCATTAGTGTCAAAAGTTTCTTTTATAAGAACCTGTATAGGAATTCCTAACTACAGTCTATTTATGTTATACCTTAGAACCCACAGTCAGATCTGCAGGCTCAGGATCGGTGTCATAGGATTGGTCAAGACAAACCAGTGGTCATTTACAGACTAGTGACTGCTAATACCATAGATCAGAAGATTGTTGAGAGAGCTGCAGCTAAGAGGAAGCTTGAAAAAATGGTTATACATCAAGGTAAGTTGATTTTGAAAATATTTAGATGTATAAAATATAAAATAACAAATTTCTGTTATCAAATTTTGGGGGTTCGGCCAAACTATCATTATCACACAAACGTATACGGGTCAAGTTTGCAGATAAATGTGAATAATAGGATGCTGGTATGGACATATATCACTAATTAAATGTAATGAAAATCCTACCTGATTTGAAGTAAATTGTTGAATAGATCCAATTTCTTGGGTATATACACATAACACTATACACGTTAAATGGCAATTAAAATTTAAAAAAATTTAATTAAAGCGACACTAAAGTCCATATAGTCAATTTTTTTTATAGAGACATGGTAACGTAAGATACCGTAACTTTAGTTACTGTAACTTTTTGACATTTGACCTATTAATCGTAATCCGTTTGAATTTTTAGTTTACCTGTTAATAGTTCAATGACCAACAATTATGTGATATGCATTGAAACTTTTGAAAACTGTCTTCAAAAAAAAAAGTACATGTCTTTTTTGTGTCATGTAAGTTACCAAGGTTTAAAAAAATATTGAAAAGCAGTTGGAAGTTTTAAAAGCAAAATGATAGACATACTGTTTTAAATAATATTTAGTTATACTGATGAAATGATTTTATATTTGTGTAATCATAAGTAGAGTGGATGAAAGTAGGTAAAAATGTAATGTAAGTTACTGAGGAATTGCGCAAATAAGTAAAGGTCTTTATGAATTAATATTGCTGTAACAGGGTCATTATGCCAAAAGTCAGTCATTCCTGTTCTACAGCCAAAAGTGAGTCTAGATATCAATTTTCAGTTAATAATCTTTATCCTATATCAAGATCTAATGACCCTGAAATTTCAAGTGACTGTAACTTTTAAATGACTTGGAATTGGCTGTAGTTGTTCGATATATTTATGTATGCAACAACAATAATTAGGCATATGAGCCTAATTAAACAGCCCAATTAGTTAAATATAAATGTTAATGGTTTCCCCTGGGCTATGTCCCTGACTCGGACTGGTGCCCTTTTTCCCTTAATTCCAGCTTTGACTCACTTCACTTTACAACTCAAACCATGCCACCTTCTAAGTAAACATTATCATCATCCTTGTCATCATCGCCATCGACACCATCATCATTAGTGTTATACATCGTAATATTTAATACATGATTGAATTTAATAACATGAACAAACAATAGGCCTACTGGAGATACACTTTCTTTAAAATAAAACCAAACTTCTTAGATGATCCCTATGTTCAACATACAACAGTAACAGCCAGAAGATTGCTTTGTGATGAGTTTTTAAGACCAAAACACTTTTTCAGCTATCAACAAAAGTGAAGCCAGGCTGTTTGCTCAAGTCAAGTCGGCCCAAGTTTTGTAAGCTCGGCCCAAATTCACTCAGCCCCAAGTTGACTTGTCCCCAAATTTCTGTGTATTTGTGAAAATGTAGTGCTAATGATAACAATTAAAATATGTTTAAACTTGTGATTGATATCAGTATATATACAAAATAATGAAACAGGTTGTAATCAGCCTCAGTGTAATTTATATAGTCTGACCACAGAGTCTTTGCGAAGAACAGTGCTAACCATATCAGGGCAATTCAATATTAGAAAGGCATAAAGTGGCCAAATCAAATAATCATCAAAAACACCTGCTTGTGGGTGAATTGCATAACCAAATATAACACTAGTATTCAAAACAATAAAGTTTTTTATAAAAGTTATTGGAAATGTTATAATTTTTAACCATTTTAAATACAGAAATGATGATTTTTTTTGTTGGTTTTTACTATTGACAAAACTATTAATTTTCCTATTTATTTACCAATAGATTGATTATACACAGTTGTTAATGTTATCAGTCGACATGATGGGATAGTATATAAGTCACCTTCAGTCCTGATCATGTGATTTTATTTATTGTGGAGTAACTTGCTACTAAATTACTGTATAAGTCTAAAAGTTAGCCCTAAAGCCTTCAGATCCTCTGTTTTTAGTCTATTAATAATGCTATAACAAATTTATGGATTTTTTAAAAATAAATTAATTTCCAAGTAATTAATCTATTAATTATGTCCTGTGTATGCCACTTGCCGTTGCGTACAGGACATGTCCGTACACCACACTATGATATTTTCTCTTTTAAACACTATTATCTGCTATAAAATAATTGATTTATGTTGGAATTAATACTATGTACTACCCTGATTGGTAGTGTCTTAGTAAATGTTAAATAAAAGTTTTGTAAATTAATATTACTGACAAGGAAATACCCATATTTCACTTACTCAAAATTATGTTTACTATGGGTGGGTTGGGGGGAATGTTTAAACAAAAAACCTTACCATATCCAAAGATACATTACCTGTACATAATTTAGGATCAGAGCAGTTTTTTTTTTTAACAAATAAAGAAATCCTATATAGTAAAATGGATTATTGTGTATACGTACATATAAGCTGTATTCAGAGATGTCCCGTACGCCACATTTGGCTGTCCCGTAATCCATGCTTTCATAAAAGTTTTAAAAGTTAGTAATTCAATGAAGTCGATGTCTATTTGGAAGAAACAGGTGTTTACGTGTTACTGTCGAATTTAATAACATGAACAAACAATAGGCCTGTCAGGAAAAATTTGGTCCGGGGCAAAAATCGGTCCGGCTGACTGATTTTGGCCTCATAATTACTAGCCAAATGTAGTCCACATAAGCCAAAATCCATCTGCTGAAATTTACTTTTGCTGTGCTCAGCACACTTGGGCATCTTACGTCCGCAATAGATTTTTGCGGAAAGAACGATTCCTAAGCTTTTGCAGACGTCCATATGCTTATCTAGCCAATCAAAATGATGTCCATAGCTGACGCCTGAATTTGCATACAACACCCTATATAACAGTTTAAGATCGGCATGTACGGTATTTGGGTTTAGTTGAAGAGCCTTGGCGGGTAGTGAACATAGAGGAATAACAATAAGGAAAGGCTAAGCTACGGTATGTACACAGATATATACTAGTTGTTATATTTTTAATAGTGTTAAAGTACATTAGATGTGTATAAGAGACAGGGGCTATGTCCCTGACTCGGACTGGTGCCCTTTTTCCCTTAATTCCAGCTTTGACTCACTTCACTTTACAACTCAAACCATGCCACCTTCTAAGTAAACATTATCATCATCCTTGTCATCATCGCCATCGACACCATCATCATTAGTGTTATACATCGTAATATTTAATACATGATTGAATTTAATAACATGAACAAACAATAGGCCTACTGGAGATACACTTTCTTTAAAATAAAACCAAACTTCTTAGATGATCCCTATGTTCAACATACAACAGTAACAGCCAGAAGATTGCTTTGTGATGAGTTTTTAAGACCAAAACACTTTTTCAGCTATCAACAAAAGTGAAGCCAGGCTGTTTGCTCAAACACTAGTCCTTTTTCAGTGGTTAGTGCTGTCTCTTATACACATCTAGATGTGTATAAGAGACAGGGGATAAAGTGAGAATTTCATGCAAGCATGATTGGAAACAATAGGCTGGGTGAGATTAGAATAAACAGCCTAAACAAGTAAACAGGAAGGCCAAAAATAAACTTTAGAGGCAAGCCTCAATAAATAAGCCAAATGATTTATCCAGAAGAATATATATATATATATATATGTGTTCTTAAAGTCTACTATTGAAGCTGTTTCATTTTTTTCTCTATTCTGTCAGAACACATGTGGAACACAAATGAAATATAAGAATAAAAAGAAACCAATTATTATATTAAGATATAATTATAATATAAGCATTCCTCCATGACAATAGTATGTGTGTATTATGTGTGTATGTATTTATTAGATATTATATACAGTATGTCCGAAAATGAACAATTACATACATTGACATAAAATTTTATTTCAAATTTATAACTCTACCGGTAAAAATATATATATATATATATATACAATATACAATACAATATTTATTGGATAACACTTTTATAACAGTGGCACACGTTAGACAAATTCTAACGGTGCATCCAGAAAAGAACAAAGCAACAGAAATAAAAAAATAAATTCTTAATTATGAGAGATTTACAGATAACTCAAATAACATTATTGCCCACCCACCAATCAAATTAAACACTTAAAATAAACTACAAACAAAACAAGAATGACTGGTTTGAAAAGTCGTGCAAAGCAAACCATGATGCTAACCCACCCCGCAACGCCCCGAGCCGACGCCACCGGGCCCCCGCCAGGTAACGCAGCCAGCCGAATGCTAGCCGTCCTCCCAGTTGTTGGATGTTGTTTGAGGGAAGACCACCAGCACCCAAACAGCCCCACCACCCGACGAAGGTCCGACGTCATCGGTCCGAGAGAATGCAGCAGAGCAAGCCAACGGCCTGGTTACACTTTGAACGAATTTTCAGTCAGTATACAGTACATAAATAGAAACCAAATGAAATAATTTGAACATTTAAGAATATAAAAACAAAATTTAAATTAAATTAAATTAGAATTAAAAGAAAGCGTTTATGCTTACATACAGTATGAGTATGCACGCACAGGAATTATTACACAAGCTTAATGCTTAAAAAATCAAATATAATACTGTAATTACACAACAGCACAAATAAAACTTAAGCTACAAAATTTAAATAAGTCACATCTCCTTATCCACAGACTTTTGGCTAAAGATTTGCAAAATTTGTCAATTAAGAAATTGATATTCTTATCATAAAAGTGGTTATTTTCATTTCCGAGGATAAAATGTAATTTATTTCTATTATTAGACTGTTCGAATTCTTGGAAAACAAGTAGAAGATTGTTACTATAAAGTTGTTGTTTAAATCTGGCAATTTCGATTTCTCTGATATTATTAAGAATAGGACAAATTAAAAGAAAGTGAATTAAATCTTCCACCTCACCTGTATTACATAGTTTGCAATTGCAATTTTTACAGGGCATATTTGAGAGTTTTGCAAGTTTGTAATTCAGAGGAAGAGTGTTCGAACGCAATTTAAATTTTAATGATGCACCCTCAAAGTCACATTTGTCGAGAAGGTAGCCTTCTAAGTTGGGTACGTTCTTAATAGCCATATAGTCTTGTATTGATGACTTACTATTTCCATCATCAAGCCAATGGGAGAGTGACAAATCTCTCATGATACTTTTTGCTTTAAAAGCCCAATCTGTGCTCACATTATTATCTTCATCTTGTAATTCTAAGAAAATATTATCTATATTACAGTCGTTGAGAATGTTTTTTATACAGGTAGGTATTTTAAAGGCAATATCATTAAGATTATCTGATGATGTATTTACAATAGTTTTGTATAATAATTTAGTCCAACGATTGTCTTCCATTTTTAAAATTCTATCGGTGAAATTAATTCTATAGATATTTTGAATTAGAGAAATTTTGGACCACCCAAGATTACCGTACAGTGTAGCGCAAGGTGTATTACGGGGGCCCTTTAAAATGAATTGAGCCATTTGTAGTTGTAACTTTTCAATTCTATCGGTGTCACTTTTATTTCCAACTCATACAGAGCTACCATAATTTATCGATGGAAGAGCAATCGTTCGCCATAGAATATCTCCGTAGTATACTCTATTGAAGCTATTTAAATTACCGATGATTGATTTTATATATTCAATAAGGCAGTTACATTTCTGTACTACATGTTCAATATGTTTATGGTCGTTCATGAGTCTTGATATCGTGACCCCAAGATACTTGTAAGTTTCACATTCAGTTATTGATTGGTTTCCTAATTTCCACAACTTGTTTCTCTCTATCCTCTTTCCCACGACAAGTATGTTAGACTTGGTATGATTAAAATTTAAGTTCCAATCTTTGGCAAATTTGGCTGCTAAATCTAACATCTGTCAACTGTCGCTCATTTTCGGCAATTAAAATTACATCATCGGCCCAGAATAAGGCCCCGAGCCATGTGTCATTGATATGAACACCAATATCATTTGTTCTTAGAATTTTTGTGAATTTGTTAATGAATATACAAAATAAAATTGGAGATAAAACGCAACCTTGTCTAACGCCCTGTTCAATGGGATATTCGTCTGTTATACAATCTCCAAATTTAACCATGCCTTTTATGTTAGCATACATATTATCTATTATTTTCCATAAGCGTCCTCTAATTCCTACATTCCAGACGGCCTTCAGCAGACCGTCTCTCCATACAGTGTCAAATGCCTTCCGGAAGTCCAGGAAGGCCAGATATGTATTTTTCCCTTCTTTGCGTCTCCAAGCAGCTATGCTTTTTACAACAAATACATGATCTTCACATTGTCTGTTTTTTCTGAAGCCTCCCTGAACCTCCGAAAGAGCATTATTGTTTTCAAGATAACTTGACACATTCATTGCTATAATTCTGTTGTATATTTTAGATACACAAGATGTAAGGGAAATACCACGATAATTATTTAAAACTTTCTTATCACCTTGCTTAAATATAGGAATGATAATACTTAATTTCCAATCAGTTGGTTGTTTTTCGAAAGATATGATTTTTTAAAATAAATTTCAAAGAGCATTCCATAATAAAACCACCATTTTTTAACAGTTCATTGGTAATACTATCTTCACCTGGTGATTTACCGTTCTTTGCAAGCCTTAGTGCATATTTAACAATGTCAATGTAAATCTCTATATCGTATATACAATTTGGGTCGCCATCATCCCGATCAATGTTTCTAATATTATTAATAAATTGTGTAGTTTTTTGCATGTTACTGTTAGAAGAGTTAGGTTTAGATTTACTTAATGATTCCCAATAATTTTTTAATGTGTCATTCTTTTCTTCAACCCCTGTTACTATATTTTCTGACCCCGGAATCTTAAAGCAATTTGTGTTAGATTGATTGAACTTTGACCCTCTAAGTGACTGCCAAAATTCTTTACAACCTGGACCTCCTTTGTTTGCAATAACAATTGATTTAATTACCCTCATCTCCAAGATCTTTTTTTTAATTAAGTTTTTGGCAATTAATCTTTTCTGACATTGGTAATTCTGCCAAAGAAATTCACTGGTGGCCTCGTTTCTATCGTTTCTTTTAATATTTTCTATGTATCTGTGCTGCTTTTTTCTTATTTTCAATTGCTATAGCTGCTTCTTTGTCAAACCACGGTCTATTTTTTCCTGTAATTGTTTTTTAACAGATGCTTTCTTCAGCAGATTTGATAACTCTACTTTTCCATGATTTCCACAAATCATCGACATTGTTAAAAACACTTACATCCCAATCTTTAAAATTGTTCTCTAAATAAGCTCTATACACAGTAAAATCTTCCCCATGTCTAATATTCCAGATTGATTTTTTACATTTTCGTTTAGTTTTATATCGAGAATCTTTTATATTTAGTGTAAGCAACAACATATTATGATCGCTGCCCAAGCCGTATTTTCCTAATTCATCTACAATCATTTCTAAAATATAATTAAACATGCTTTTAGATGACAAAATATAATCAATTGTGCTAAGCTGTTTACCTCATCCCATCTCATTTTACCCTTACAAAAAATAGTGCTATTTAAAATTGAAAGATTAGCGTCATTCTTAAATTCTAACAATCTTTCACCATTCGTATTGAGAACAGGATCTCCATTAATTATGTTATTCCCAATTCTTGCATTAAAATCTCCTAAAATTACTATATTAGGTTCATCTTTACCATCGAACATATTTTCAATATTAATGATCTCAGAAATTAATTGATTGTACAACTCTTCTGTTTTTTCAACATTACTACCTTCAACAGGGAAATAGGCAACTGCTATGAAAAAAGGAGTTTTTTTGTTAATTTCAACCTTGATCCATATACGTTCAAAATCATCTAAACTTGAGTTAAATAAGTTTTCCTCCGTAATAACAATACTGTTTGATACAAAAAAAACCAATACCACCCCCTCCTTTAAATTTTTTATTTTTACCAATCCATCTATATCCTTTTATTAAAATACCTAAATCATTATTAAGACATGTCTCAGCTACCCCAAATATATCGATTTTATTGTTACACAAAAATTGGGATACTTCAAACAATTTTGGCCGAAGCCAATTAACATTATTAAAAGCAATATTTATATTTACAGAGTTGTTGTTTGAAATTCTTTTACCTTTTCCACCTCTTCTGTGTCGTCGTTTACCTGTACCTTGTTTGTGGTTAGAATGTGCTGGCATATTAGTTTTGTGTCCATTATTATTATCATTATTATTGCGCTCTAATTCATCTCTTAATAAATAATATCTATTATACGTGAGGTAGGATTGATCTGTGCTGCTGTGTGCCGGATCCTATGTTTGTCTTTCATTGCATTGTACTGTCTTTCTTCCGTCAGATCTTGTTTTGTAGCCGGTAGTCGTTCCGTTTCTTAGTGGGTTTTTCAGGACCTGATGTACGGATTCGATATTTCTTAAGAGCAGTCGTGTCCCTGTCCATGATAGATGTAGCCCTCCTCTGTTCAAGTTGGATTGTACGACTGAACCATTTCTCAGAAGAAATGTTTCGTCATTGTCAATGACTTTACATTGGTGCGTTTTAGCGATTTGTTTTAGTCCATTGTTAAGGGCATTCACTCGGTTTTGACTTCGTTGGTCATCAACTCGTGGGCACACAGTGGAGATAATGATATCTGTTGTCGGCGACTCTGTTTTAATATGACTGACTAGATCTTCATATTGATGTATGCTATTTGAGAAGCTCTCATCTGAATGGCAGTTGTTTGTGCCTACATGCAAAACTACAGTTTCAAAAGATGAACAACTGACCTCAGCTACTATGCTATCTTTAATATGATTAATACGTCCTCTAATACACTTGACCTCAGTATTTTTCAAACCTCTGTCCTTTATATCTCTAATAATCAAGTCTCCGATGATCAAAGTGTTCTTGTCCACTCGATTTTGATTTCTTTGTGTTTGAGTTGATTCATTGCCTCGGTTGCTAGTAGGCCTATTGTGTTGCTTGTTCCTTGCTGTTTTTGGTGGCAGGTTCTGTGGCATTGCTGACTCACTTTTGGTTTCTGGTGTTTGTATGTTACATCTAGATGTACATTTACACGATGGTTGAGCTAGTATACCCCGCATTGTTAATTTCATGTCTGTAATCAGATCCTTCTGCTGGTTTACCATGTCTCTTAGAGATGCAATTTCATTCGTCATGTCTAATATCAACGCGTCGAAGAAGCCTACTAATTGGTTTGTTCTACCGTCTGCCAAATGTGTCCATTGAAGTTCTTCGTCGTTTCACCGCCTCAACAGAATCTGCGATGATGCTCTATAAAAACAGTGAAATTCTTATTTTAGGTGATTTCAACCTACCAGAAATCCAATGGGGAAATCATCCTTCTGCGCCTTCAAATTCAATGGGTGAACACTTAATTGACGTTCTTCTGGACAGTTGTGGACTTTTTCAGTGTAACAAATTTCCAACACGTTTAGATAAAATTTTAGATTTGGTTATTAGCAGTAGAGATTTAACTACTAATGTTAATGTTGGAGACGATATATTTGAGTCTGATCACTTGTCAATAAAAATTGATTATCGTATTGAAGTGCAGTGTAATAACAATTTTAATAATTTTAATGATAGAATATTTTACAATTTTAAAAATTTGAACATAGATGATTTGTGCAATACATTAAATCTGTCTCTTATACACATCTAGATGTGTATAAGAGACAGCTCATCTGAATGGCAGTTGTTTGTG